GAAAAGCTTCCCTAGATATCCAAAACTTCAGTATCAAAGTCTGAAGAATTTCCCTAGTACACTTGCAAGTCAGGTTGAGATGAAGAAATGTTATTATGTTATGCTATAATATGTCACAATCCCTAAGGTTCATCTCAATTTCAAAATGCCTTCTCTTCAAAAGATAAATGTCCAAAAACTTTTGATAAGCAACAAAAAAACTAGCTAGTCCGGCATTGCGCCATCCTTCAGGAAAAATAATTGTCGCTCTACCTGTAGAAGCTTAAATTGCGCCATCCTAATGCCACAATTGTTGGACCCCTGCACTTTCTCATACAAACGAATAAAAGCCATCATAACAATTTAGTTCACAACATATTATATGAGATTTAGATTATTAATCAATACCTCGTAAAATTTCGAGAATGTGAAGAGCCTCCCCGCCAAATCTCATAAGCGATTCTTTTAACCAAAAACCAATTTATATTCTCAGTAAAATCATTATATTTTCCATCATTTGCAATGGAACCAAAGATTCATTATTATTTTTGCTTGAAAATATGATGGAATAAATCAAAATGACTCACTAAATTGTCTGTGCTTCTTTGTTATGAAGCAGCAACCAATCCATGCAATTTTGGACGCGATTTTCACTATGGATCATCCGAAAACAGTCTCTCTTTACTTTAGTACAGCGGTAAGTCTGCGTATATCTGACCCCAACGTAGGTGGGAGCCTTCGCTGTAATGGGGTAAATGAAAATGAAATGAAATGAGTAAAATCATTACTTGTCACTATAATGTCATCTACATAGATGACTAATGCAGTAAAAGCAAAACTCAAATTCCGAATGAAAAGAGAATAATTTGCAAATCTTTGATGATATCCCATGTGTATCAAATCATGAGTGAGCTTTTTATTCCCTCGTCTTCTTCTTGTTTTAATCCACAAAGGCACTATGTAGTTTGCACACTAAGTTGGATTGAGGTAAAAATAATCCTTGTGGTGGAGTCATATAAACCTCTTCACATAGGTTGCCATGTAAGAAGGCATCATCAATATTAAGTTGATGCAACTACCAATAATTTTTAGGTTGAATGGTAGCCAGTTCTGCAACTGAATAATACTATGTACTGTTTACATACATTTTTATTTTAAAACTAGTTTAGAAACGCGCTATGCGCGTTCGTGTAAATGCCCAATACCATTACAAGCATATTAATTTAAAAAGTAAAGAGAAAGCATACATACACTAAAGTATTGTTGTGAAACGCAATTAAAAGTTTAATAAAATTATACATAGTATATTATCTGCATTCATCTTTAACAAAAGGTGTCAACTTTTAAACAAACACTAATAGTAACATTACATTTGATTAAAATAAAATCACTTCATATTTTTCAAAAGCATTCAAAAATTCACACATTGCCATATTTCGTAAACCAACCCACTTTCTAAATATGAGATTATTGTGTTAATTATATCTGATGATGTACTTTTTAAATATAAAATGGTTATGCTTGTACATTTTAGTTCCAAATAAAATAGTTGGTAGGTGTTTTCATGGGAGGTCTCTTTTTATATTCTTCATTCTTGAAAAGTTGTTCATTTGTGGTTAATATATAAAGAGGTTGCTAGAACACGTTTGGTAACTTTAGCCTAGCATTTTCCATTCAGCCATTTTTCCCTCAAATTTGATGAAAAAATAAAAAACAACATCACAAACTTGTGAAAAGAATAAACAATATGAATATGTGTACATATTTCTTTAGCTGTAAAAACTATACATATTTCTTTAGCTGTAAAAACCATACATATTTCTTTAGCTGTAAAAACTATAAGCAACTGAGCATTCAGTACTATTGCATGCAAAGTAGAAAAAACTTAAGTATTGCAGATTTCTACTATCAACATTTAGAAATTGTGATAAAGATGGTTCGTTAACCAAAAAGAGAAACACTATAACGAAACGTCACTCAATAAGACATATGTAAAGCAACTACTAATCCTTGAAATAATTTGGCATGTAAGTTTGGGATATGAATAGCTAATACAGCCGTTTTCGTATTACCAAACGGGCTCTAAAATTATATCCTTGTATTTCCCTAATTCTGTAAAAATGAAGGAGAGATAAGTCACAATATAATTAAATAACATAATATACACAAGCTCCCAGACTCCCAAAAATAGCATAACTAAGAACAGAGCTCCATGACTCCCAAAAAACTTATTACATGACTTGTTCCTAGTCAACTTCCTACTGAGTGTGCTTTCTAACACAACGATGATGATGATATCACCATCACGATAACACTTTATGAACCCATGTATAGCAGAGCCTTGCTGTTATGGCACAGGTGCTAAAGTATTCTTAATGTCATTTCATACAAAAATCTACTATAGTAAGTGCATCCAAATTCACATATGAAGTCAGAACGTATGAAAACAACCATGTCAAATATAAGAGTAAATGCTTATCTAATTTGGATAGTGTATGTAAAATAAAAAAGCAAAAACTTATGAATTGGGCTGATAATATAAGCCATATAATATGGCTCACCAATAGACATCAAAGAAGAAACCCACTATTACAGAACCTGATAAAGAGTAGCACCAAGTATAACCATGTAGCAATATAATAATCACTTGTGACATTGTCAACAACCAAACATCATGGTAAAGAAATAAACATTTAAGAATGGTAATGAAGCATAGCGCATACCTGAAAAAACATAACAAATATACTATTGTCCCTATAACCAAAGTAAAATATATGGACATATTTACTTCTAGTTTAATAGTTTATGAAAGAATTGGGCAATACAAAACCATAGAACAGGCATCATATAACCTGCACTAAAAGAAGTACGGAGTATTTAATACTATGTAATATACATATCCTTATACTCCGTAACAAAATAGTCATATATGGAATGAGATTTAAATTCATGAAGACGGGGTTTTCATGGTTATAAATATGTCAAAACAGAAGCTTACTACTCCACCTCGCCAGAAGCCAGCGGCAAGTCCCCGTAGCTGCATCTGCACTGTTGGCTATTGCAGCTTCTCCACCAGGGGTAGAGGAAGGGGGGCTCGTCCCAGGGCATTTTTCTTGCAATACATAGGGAGTATTAAAAAAGAGTTACGATCAATCCCAGTCTAAACACATTTTTGACGGAATCTTGCCTGATGTGTACCCGAATTCCCAAACCCAGGAACCTTCTTCTTGGGTTCTTCACTCTTCTAGTATCAGGGCGACCCCTTAACCACTCTAAACAAAAAAAACGTAGAGGATGGAGGTCTGGCAAAAGCAATGGTGAGTAAAGGAAGCCTAACAGATGCGGTGGATACACATTCAATCAAGTGTAAGCCGAAGGATTCCGTCAGTCTTGTGCTTGCCGTTTGATTTAGGGGAAGTAAATTAGGCATTCCGTACAAGTGGTTAATGCACAAGGAGACACCAACACTTTTTATATGACCGTTATACCCCTAACATTATTCGTGTTTATAGAATTGTAGAGATGTACTCTGTATATTTTTCTTTTCATTCGAAATACAACACTTTAAATGATATTATTCCTAATATATGATTAAAATTAGCATGATGGATACAAAAGTGATCTACGGAGAATTAATTTTTACTTACTATGAACATTTTCAGTTTAAGTATCGCAGTGATCATAATTATGCTTTCATTCAAGTTAAAAGATGAAATAAGTCCTTTAATTGGTGGGATATGCTGTATGATTTCATAATGGAATATATGTGGCCAATGTTACCACTTCCCTCAATAATTCAATACAAAATGACGACTTCTATCGAGTCTAGCATTACTTCTATGAAAAATGCTTGAGGTACACAAAATGTGTACATAAAATGTGTACACATGTCTGTCCTTTACATAAATTTTGTCTGTCACAGACAATTCAAAATGAGTTGTCTGTGACAGACAAAATTTCTATGAAGGACAGACATGTGTAGACATTTTGTGTACCTCTAACAACACTCTTACTTCTATTGGTGGGATATGATGTATGATTTCATAATGGAATTTTAAGTCCAGCATTACTTTTAGCAGCTTTTTTCTTCATAATTCGTCTCTATTGAGTTTATGATATGCGGAGTAATGAGCACGCAAGAATCTCTCTCGCAAAAGCCATCCAAAAGGAGAAAGTCCCCTCTTTTCCAGTCAGCTTTCTAGGACCTAACTATATGAAAACTAGGAGTACTAAAATGTTACGCTAGTACTATGATACTATCTTCCTCCCACTTAAAAGTTTTTATTCAGTTACAAATTTGTTTTTAATTTTTGGTTTTATAAAATTTGTAATATAATTTCTAATAATCTTACTAATGACAATTATTAGTTGACTTTATGACTAGTCAAACATCATAAATCACATGGAAACCTTTAAATGGACAAGAATATAATTTAATATGAGTACAAAATTCATTGTTTTCTCGATATGTGGTTGTACGAAAGAATGTTACACAACAAACACTACAAAATAGAATTACCTACATTTTGAATGAAGAGAAAACAACTAAAATACATTTTCTATTGGAGTCTTGCACATCCCTCCTTATTGAAATAATATAATCATCAATGATTATATTCACGGGAATCCTTTCGACAATTTCTTTTTCAATATAAGCAACCATGGAATATATACGAAAAACATATTACATCCTGTTTTGAAGTATTGTTTTGTATACCTCCATCGCTGAAAATGATCGCTACGTAGTTGTTGTTGAGTCTGGAAAAGTTAAAAGCAATCTAATCAATCTATTATTCAAATGATAAATTCCAAACTTCCATGTCTCAACCATCCCTCAACATGAATTTGACATATTCTTTACAGAGGGATGATTAGGCACATCAAATTGATAATGCTCAAATTGATCTTTACTTGAGCAAGAAAAATCATTAGGGTATAACTTCCCAATAAGTGTGCCCATGTCACCAATATTGAATGACTTGAACTCATTTCTAGTATCCAAAATTCCAAAGCACTACTTAGCACAAGAAGCCTGTTGTTTGCTCACTAAACCCGTTGCGCAAGTGTTCTAATTTTCTATCTATACCAACCGGAAAGACATTCACTTGCCAATGGCGCTTCACTTTGACTATATCCTTTTTGCACCGGGATTGGATAACAAAGAAATCCTTACTTTCACATAAAGATGTCACTGTTTACAAGTGACTCTCAATCTTCAAACTCTCAATTTATTAATCAATAATTTAGTTGTAATGACTAAATGCTGGCATTCAAAATGTCATATGACTTTTGTTACATGATAGGGGAAATATTCTTTCTCTGTTACCCGATTAAAGCTCCTCCCTTTCTAAACACAGCCGAATCAAATGGGTCCTTAAATCCATAATCCATCCACATGGATACTTCCAAACTCCAACAAGCTTGAAGCTATTTCTAGATTCCCAAGGCTACACAGATTCTTTACTCTTATAATTTTGGAAAGAAACGACACTAGAATTGATGAAGTTAATGGAAGCGGACCCAGTAGCAAAGGAGTTTCCAGTTCCACAGTCAGAGGTCACCACACTAGAGCCGCCGCTGCCGCCGCCCGTGGAGGCATTGCTGCAGAAAATATGTGTGGAGCAGTCCCAGACGCCGCCGGACGCGGTGGTTAGGAGGCGGCTGGCCGCGGTGGGAGAAGAAGGGGCGAAGGAAATCTTGGAGAGAGTTGCTGCTCGGAAGGTGAGAAGGTTAATAGTGTAATTATAAGGACTCTTATGTAATTACTCTTAATATTGATTATTATAAATACATGCCTAGGGCTACCTATTGGGTAAGCCATTCCATCACAATTATTCTCTCATATGGTATCAGCAGCCTAGATTTTACATCCTAGAAAAATATGTCGACTACTCCTTCTGCGGCGCACGTACCTCCCTCCTCGTTGCCGCCTGCAACTACTCAGCCGATTCTCTCAACTTCAACATCCGGCTCTTCGTCGATCAACACCAGCACCGTGCCGGTTACTCTCACGCCTACAGCGCCCGCACCGACGGAGCAGCACTTCTCCCCCGGCGTCACCATGTCACCGCAGTTGTCCTCTCGGCTAACAATGCCTTCTACGTCGTTGGGATCTTTTCGTCTGTTTAATATGTCGGAACCCTTCTCTTGGACGCCAACTATGCCCTCCATCCAACGGCCTACTGTATCAGTCCGTCCGGCAGCTCCTCTTCCCACGCACTATTCAGGTCCCATGTTCACAGGCCAGCCGGGTGTCATGCCTTTCGAGTCTTCCTCCACATATGAGCACACTGCCACTCCGGTAACTACTTCCACTTTATCCCAATTATCATCTCAGTTAACATTTTCTACTCCCAATGTTACCAATATTGTGACTACTCGTTTGGATAAAGTGGAGGATTATCTTCCCTGGCGTACGCAGTTTGAATCATTTTTAGTCTCTCATGGATTGTTGGGGATTATTGACGGATCCATCCTTGCCCCACCCCAAACAATTTTTGATGCCCCTAACCCTGAGTATCATTCCTGGCTAAAAATAGATCAGACTGTTAGGTCATGGTTGTTTGCTACTTTATCTCGCAATATTTTACTGGAAGTACACACTCTTCACTTTTCTACCTTAACTTGGGAATGGTTGGAGACTCGGTTCATGGCAGCCTGTGTGGCTAGATCAATTGAACTCAAACGAATTTTATCTAGCTTAAAGAAAAAGGATGACCAATCCATGGATGACTATTTGCGGGAAATAATTGTTTTGACTGATTCCCTAAACTCAATCAATTCTCCAATCAGTAATCGTGAACTCCTTCAGCAAACGGTTGCTGGTTTGGGACATGAATATGAATCAGTCATTACTTCTGTTACTTTATTCCCGGATAGCTTTACCTTTGAATCCTTGAGGCCCCAATTAATGGCATTAGAACAACGGGCACTTTATCTTCGAACTCAAAATGCTCATCCGGGACACCAAGCATTTGTGGCACATGAGCAGCAACCTGCAGTCCGCCCTCCGGGCCGAGGGGGTTCAGCAGCTCGTGGTAATGGGGGCAGGGGCTTCCGCGGTGGTGGTCGCGCTCGAGGACATCGTGGTCGTGGTAGAGGCTATGGAGGACAACACGGCTATGGTTATGGAGGACAGCAGGGAGGTTACGACCAACAGCCTGCATGTGGTCATCCTCCTCTTGCTCCAGTGCCTAGACCGTACGGGTGGCAGCAGGGAGCTCCTCCTCGGGCTCCTCAACAGGCTGGGTTTCCAGGTATGGCATCGGGTAAATTTGGGTCTAGTTTATATAGTATTCATGCTTTATCTACTTGTGTTACTCACCCCACTTTTGCAGGATTCCCATCTGTTGAGCATAATTATCCATCCCCTGCACCGCTTGTTGTTTGTCAACTTTGTTATTCCCCAGGTCACTCCGCTATAAATTGTCCTCGTTTCACTAATTCTACACCAGCCTTGGCGGCCATTCCTACGGGTGAAACAAATGCGTCTGTGTGGTACCCGGACTCAGGTGCTTCCGCTCACATGACCCCACATGAAGGTATTGTAATTAATAAGTCTCCTTATTCTGGTCCATTTTCTGTGCGTGTTGCTAATGGCCAAAATCTTCACGTTTCACACATTGGTAATACTAGTTTATCTACTGCTGCCCGCCCACTTTTGTTAAAATCAGTCTATCATGTTCCGCACCTTCAATATAATTTATTATCTATACAACGACTGTGTGCGGATAATGATTGTTCTGTTGTTTTTAATAAAAATACTTTTTTTGTCAAGGACAATCACACGGGAGCCATACTTCTCCAGGCCTCCAATAAGGACTCAGTTTATCCCTTTAGAGCAGCCCCGTTGCCTACTCCGTCTCTAGCTCTACAAACCAAGCTTATCTCTGGTCCAGTCTGGCACAAGCGTCTTGGTCATTGTGGGGATCGTGTTATTTCAGTCCTTAGGAACAATAAATTAATTACTAGTACTAGTACTTTTTCCCATGATTGTGTTTCGTGTAAACTGGGCAAGTCCCATCGCCTTCCTTTTTCTGATGTTACTCGTACTGTTACTGCTCCATTACAAATCATTCATTCTGATGTTTGGCAGTCGCCTGTGTTATCAAACTTAGGTTTTAAATATTATGTCTCTTTTATTGATGATTTTTCTAGATATACTTGGGGGTATCCTATGCATAAAAAGTCTGAAGTGTTTACTCATTTTTGTAATTTTCAAAAGTTAGTAGAAAATCTTTTTAATTGTACAATTAAATGTTTTCAAAGTGATGGTGGTGGTGAATTTGTCAATTCTGCATTTCAAAATCATTTTCTTAAATGTGGCATCTTGTTTCGCAAATCTTGTCCGGATACACCCGCGCAAAATGGTGTGGCTGAGCGCAAGCATAGATACCTTTTGGAACTTTCTCGTACTATGCTTATAGAGGCGGCATTACCTCCCATTTTTTGGGTTGATGCGCTCTACACGGCTACTTTCATTATTAATCGCTTACCAACACCTAATTTGCGTGGTCTGTCTCCGTTCGAGATACTTTTTCAAAAACCGCCTGAATATAATTTTCTCCGTGTTTTTGGGTGTGCATGTTTTCCTAATTTCATTGCATCCTCTTCAAATAAACTTTCCCCACGATCCATTATGTGTGTGTTCTTAGGCTATGCCCCTGGTTATAAAGGTTATCGCTGTCTTGATCCCCGAACAGGTCGTGTCTATATCAGTAGGGATGTAGTATTTCAAGAAACCTCATTTCCTTATAACATTCTTAAACAACCTACTGCTGCTCCTTCCCCACCTAACATTCTCCCCCCTTGGACTATTTCTTCTCCTTCCATTCTACCTATCCCTCAACTCCAGCTCTCCCACAACCCGGTCCATGCTCACTCTCCAGTTCACGGCAGTCCTACCCCCAGTTCCTCGGACAGATCCAGTTCGTCCCCAAGTCATGTGGCCATTCCCAGTCTGCCACCATGTCCGTCTACCCTCACCCCGCAGCTTACTCCGCCTGACTCCCCCCAGTCCAGCAGCTCCCACACCAGCAGTTTTTTAGACCACAACAGCCCCTCACCGACATCCACCAGTCCCTCACCGACACCCAACAGTCCCCCACCGATACTATCCTCTCCTACTATGGCTCCCAACATCCATCCCATGCGCACGAGAGCTAAAGATGGCATTTTTAAACCAAAAACAATTTTTAATTTGAATACTTTAGCTCTCCCAAATGATCCCACATGTTTTTCTCAAGCAAATAAAAGTTTAGTTTGGCGGGCAGCCATGGCAGATGAATTTAATGCTCTTATTGCTAATGATACGTGGGATTTAGTACCTAGTGATACCACAAAAAATGTGGTTGGATGTAGGTGGATTTACAAAACAAAATACCGCTCTGATGGATCTATTGAGCGCCACAAGGCTCGTTTGGTAGCTCAAGGGTTTAATCAACAGGCTGGGATAGATTTTTCTGAGACATTTAGTCCGGTGGTTAAACCCACCACGGTTCGTCTGGTACTTTCTGTTGCTATTTCTTTAGGATGGGCGGTGCGTTAGTTAGATGTTAAAAATGCTTTTCTTCACGGTCGTCTTACAGAAGAAGTCTACATGCGTCAGCCCCCAGGTTTTATTCACCCTTCCTATCCCTCTCATATCTGTAAACTGAAGAAAGCTCTCTATGGTCTGAAACAAGCTCCTCGCGCTTGGTTTCATAGATTCAGTGGTTTTTTATTATCTCACGGCTTTTTACAAAGTCAGTCTGATTCTTCCATGTTTACATACCGCTCTCAGTCACGTACTGTTTATGTCTTATTATATGTGGATGACATCCTTATTACTGGTAGTTCTGAGTCTCTCGTTCGTCACTTCATTAATTTATTATCCAGTCAGTTTGCCATGAAAGACCTTGGGGACATTCATTTTTTTCTTGGTATTCAGGTTCGCCGCACTCCGCAAGGTATGTTTCTCTCTCAGCACAAATATGTTATTGATTTACTTCACCGCTTCCATCTTCACACTGTCAAACCAGTTCGAACTCCCCTCCCATCTCGCACCACGTTATCTCTTACAGATGGGGATCTTCTTAGTGATGGTACTGAATATCGCAATATGGTAGGTGCATTGCAATACTTGACTATTAATAGACCTGATATTACTTATGCTGTACATCTGGTTTCTCAGTTTATGCATGCTCCCCGTACTACTCATCTTGCTGCTGTAAAAAGAATTTACAGGTATTTACAGGGCACTTCATCTCACGGACTATGGCTCCGCGCTGGACAGAGTATCTCGCTGATTGTTGCCTATTCGGATGCTGACTGGGCTGGATGTCCGGATTCCTGCAGATCCACCACGGGTTATGCCATCTTCCTCGGTGGTAATTTTATCTCCTGGCGCTCCAAAAAGCAACCTACCGTCTCCAAGTCTTCCACTGAGGCCGAATACAGAGCAGTAGCTTACACAGTCCAGGATACATTATTTATTCGCTCCTTGCTCCTTGACATGGGCATTCGGATATCTTCTCCAGTTCAGTTATTTTGTGACAATGTCTCGGCCTCCTATCTTGCGGTCAATCCTATTCAGCATGATCGAAGCAAGCATATAAAGATTGACTATCACTTTGTTCGCGAAAGAGTGGCCCATGGAGATCTTGTTGTTAAATACACTCCTACTCAGTCTCAATTAGCTGACATTTTTACTAAAAATTTGTCTAGTCAGCGTTTTGAGTTTTTACGTTCCAATCTGCACGTGACTTCCCCTGCACAGATTGAGGGGGTGTAATAGTGTAATTATAAGGACTCTTATGTAATTACTCTTAATATTGATTATTATAAATACATGCCTAGGGCTACCTATTGGGTAAGCCATTCCATCACAATTATTCTCTCATAAAGGTTGAGTGGGTTCATAGTTTACATGTTGAATGGATACCCAGAGTGTGTCCGTGAAGAAGAAAAATGTGCGGAGAGAAGGAGCGCCATTATTTCCCCTCCGAAGGCATTAGAAGATAACAGGACCCCCAATTTTACCCCACGTAAACGCTCCGGCTTGTTTCGTTACTTTTCCTTACCAGGTGCCCCTCTCCCATATGAAGGTTATGTCTTTCTTATTTTGCGGCCTTTTCTAAGAGCATCCTCATTCATGAGTTTATTTGAAGATCAATTGGATGACGTGAAAGATTATTTTAAATATTATCATTGTGAGTAAGAGATTATTTAGTGAGATTATTGAAAAAGAAAATCCGGTATCAAGATTCAAATCCCGGATTATTTTAGATTGTAGTTAAATTACATTTAATGCATGTCCGGAAAAAACTGATTATTTTAGCATTATTGTGGAAGAGTTTTAAGTTTTGAAATTATTTGAAATTTATTGAAAAATGTGATGTGGCAATGATGTGTTATGAAATAATCGTTTATTCAGAGAACATGAATGGAGATGCTCTAAGAGAAATAACAAAAATCTACTTACTCTTATATCCACTTTTGTATTTACCTATGTTTATCAAGTGCTTCTTTTTTGTCTATGAACCCCGGTTCACAGAAAATATTTTACACAAACAATATATTGTCTGTGAACCGGGTTCACATAAAAAAAAACACTTCAAAACTATGGTTGGTATAAGGTGGGTGTAAGAGTGAGTACATCAAGCATGGTTGAAGAAATAATTAGTGAGTATATAGCACCTATTTTTTTTAAAGCGACATGGTCCTGTTTATATAAGAGCATTTCCATTTTTTCTACTATAAACAAGTTTGTTATGCTACAAACATTTTTAAATAATCTCTCACCTTATAAATTATATCACACATAACCTTAAAATAATCATACTCTATTTGATTGGTGATTCCTACACTAACTAACTATCTAACTTTAATTTCATAATTATTTTGAAATAATCGGGTATCATATTTCAAATCCCGGATTATTTTGTCAAATAATCTCATCAAATAATCTCACTCACTCAAATCATGATCCCAAAAATAATTTGTCTCATCATAGTCTCTTTTTCCGCTTCCATTTTTCTTTTTTCTATTCTTTTAATTTTTCTAATAAGCACAATTAATTTGGTTGGTCTGAAATAAGGAATTGGTGCTTCTTTATATGTGTTATACTGATGTGAGCCTAAACAAATTCATATTTGAGCATACTAAAGATTTTAAATGAGCTTTTTCATTTTTTCGATGCCTATTTCGTAAGTTATGTATGCTCATTTGATATTTGTGTAATGCTCATTTTAAAATGTCATATTGGTGTAATGCTCATTTTAAAATGTCATATTGGTGTAATGCTCATTTTAAATTTTTCGGTACTCATTTCATAAGTTATGTATTCTCATTTAATATTGAGGCATACTAGAGATTTTAAACGAGCGTTTTAAATTTTCGATGCTCATTTCATAAGTTATGTATGTGGATTTGATATTGATGTAATTCTCATTTTGAATTTTCACGTCGCATATATGTGTAATGCTCATTTTAAATTTTTCGATGATCATTTCGTAAGTATGTATGCTCATTTGATATTGGTGTAATGCTCATTTTAAAATGTCATATCCATGCATGTTGGTGTAATTCTCACTTTAAATTTTTCAATGTTCATTTCATAAGTTTTCTCATTTAATATTTGAGTATACTAGAGATTTCATAAGTTTTCTCATTTAAATTTTTTTGAAGCTCATTTTGTATGTTATGTATGCTCGATTAGTATTTGTTTAATACTCATTTTAAAATGTTATGCATTAGATTCAAATATCGAACCCATACTCAATATATGAAGGTTATATTATGATACTAATTATTCGACTCTTAATACTCAATAGAATATGTTTGATGCTCACTAAAAATGTATTAAAGCTCATTTAATGAGAGTCACAATTTTCACTAAAATTACGAAAAATGCCACCGGGCGTTAACCGTGACATCAACACATATCTTGTAATATCACGATGCTCATTATTACTCTCATAATACTCATTAGAATTGGTCTGATGGTCGCTAACAGTACACTAATGCTCATTTAATAGAAATCGCATTTTTCACATTAATTACGAACATGCCACCTAGTAATTTAAAATGTTGGACATTTTTTGTGGGCCTTCTTTGTGTTCATAAAATTTTATTCAAATTGGGTTGAAGTTTAAACAAATTTACAAATAAAC